TCTCAAAGATTACATTTCTGTTAAGGGGTATATCCAAGGACATTGGGTGGGACCAGATGCAGTTCTTACCAATGTGAACAGATTTCCATCAAGCATACATAGCACAGCTCAATTCAATCCACACCTCCCAGGAGCTCCCTAGACTGCAAACCAGAGCTCAGAGCCATACATCAGCTTTCTGGCCTTTAAACAGTCTCTTGCCAGTGAGATAAGAGAATATTTCCATAAACTACATTTAGCCCTTGGACTGGAGATTACCCATGCTTGCTATACAGTGAATTTAAATACCATGCCATGGGCAGATATTAATTTCTCCTACCACACATACATTTTTATAATCTCTATCGCTTTCTTCTACCTTAATGCTACAGCATTTATTTTATCCATGGGATTACAGCAGGGGTGAGAATAATGCATCCCTAGATGTTATTGGGCTACAGCTCACAGAAGAAACTGGAAACAGGTCTCAAGATGCTCAAAAGATGGTATTAGTAAAAACATCTGATACATTTATGTCCTTGTGTACTCTTAAAGACCTTGGTCAGGGGCTATTTAGTATCCAGATTCAGAAATTTCTGGGCCAAGAACTCTCAGATCATTTACTGAAGAAGTTTTTACTTTCAATGAGCTTTCTTCAGTGGATTCCATTAAATGATCCCTACTTTCTGCTACGGACTCCCACTCCCAGCAGCTCTAGCCACCACAGCAAGTGGTGAGAAAACTTGGGAGTTAAAAGTCCAACAACATCTGAAGGTCTGCACAGCTCCTACAGCAGGTTACAGTACAGAATTACCCAGCTCCAGTCTTGCTGTGGTCAGCTTTTGACAGTTAGCAATGGTTCACTGCATGGATGGGTGGGACTAGAGTGTTTATAGCATTTTTGGTCACTTTTTAGGGCTAACCACCAGAAATGGACATACAAAAATGAGAACTCTACAGGTATAATAATAATATTAATAATAATAATATTTATTTGTATCCCACCCCTTTGAAACCAATCGGGGCAGCTAACAACAATAAAAACACATACATAATACATAAAACATCCCCATACTACCCTCCCCCCTTAAAAAATTATTAAATCAAATTACAAATTAAAACAACAGTTCAGGTAAAACAAATAATATAATTAACAATATGGGCCTGACAAGATGTCTCAGGAGGTGTGTTGTCTCCCTGGGGCA